TGGAATTGTATCTAAGAAGTGCAATGACATATGTAACACACGTACAACTTAAAACAGAATATTAATAAGAAGATGTCTAATTGATAATTAACATCATATACATAGACAAATACCAATCTTAATCTCTTTGTTTGTAACTATAGGACTTACGTTTTATAAAGAGAAAAGGAAAAATAAATGATTAATCTGATAATACCTAAACCCTTTTCAGAACCTCCCAGAAGCCATGTTGCCGAGCAATCTAAAACTCCATGAACAAGTAGTACAGCTGTCTTATTGTTAGACGGAGGACTTTTCTTTGATCCTGCAATTCTATCCAGTTGCAGAACATATCGATCAGGTGTGACGACTTGGTAAGTTTCGGCTGTGTATCCCGCTTTTTGCGCAAGCTCTTTCTAAGAAAAATGCTTTTTTTAGTGTACTGTGTAACTGGAAATTGTGGGTACACATCTCCAATGAAAGGGTACACATCACTGATTTTAATGAAATTTAAATACATTGTTGCGATGAAAATTTTGAACAGCTTCTTGCTAATCCCCGTGCAATTTTAATTTCGAAGATATTAGAAACTGTTGCTACTACATACTATATTGAATTTTGCCTACACATATACGTCTATGACACGTGTGCATTATCAAAGGACCACTATTTTTCTATTTTTTCTATTTTTATAAATGCATCGCGTTGGTTGAGAATTAACAGGTATAATGGACAAACTCTTCAAAATAAATTTACCCCCTGTACATGCTCATTTAAAACTAGCATTGTAGTGTACGGATAAGATGTCCAACATAGATGAAGACATGATAACTTTTATGCAGCCTATACTGACTATACTATATGAGTTAGATCTCCGTCTATTAAAATTGCAATACTTGTTTGTAATATTTATTAAAATAACAAAATAATTGAATTCATTAAAGTGATGAAATTTTGGAAAGATTGCTGTACCACAAGATGTCTATTCTAATACATTTTGTGTTAATAACATTTTTTATATCAAGGTACACTGTCTCAAGAATCGTAAAACGTACATACTTGTGGATAACGAAGTTCTTGTTTGAAACACATCCTATGCGTTTATACAATTATTAATAAAATTTACTTACGGGAGTTAAAACTTCATCCTCCAAGGTAGTGTTAAAAATGTCGTTTGCTTCATGATATTGGCCTGTAAACGGTACGCCCAGAATTGCGGGCAACAAGCAGCACAAAATAAATTCTCTAACCATTGTCGTAAGTGAGAATGAGTAACCTCGAATTATATCGTAGCCTTATATAGATACTTTAATGCCGTACACACACGCGCGCGCACACATACACGCACACACACGTGTCACTTCTGTTTGCTCAGGACATCTTAGATTAAAGAGGCTCAATTATGAATACTGCATTCAAAGAATTTTTGAACTTTCAAATTAACCTCGATTTGAAAATTTAAGATGTTAGGGACGAGCAGAAGAGATATGCGAAATATAAAATTTTAGATTCGTGTGTTTATTAATCTTATTATTTATTACAATATATTGAAATTTGTGTATTGGATAGGATTTTGTAATGGAAGAGCCACAAAAGGAAATTTGTCATCACTCATATTTCTATTAACATAATAGTATAGATAGAATATAAAAGCATCAAAGATAAACACGTTACATAAGTAATAATTAATATTCTAATTTCTATAACGCTCCATAAGATTCAGAATTTTATTGTATAGCAAAGTATTGACATGCTTTCCCCACACGAAATCGACATGCGCGAAAGTGTCGCATGGCATTAAAAATTTCTCAGCATTGGGTAATATTTCGTATAACTGCTGAACGTTCTGTAAAACCATTGACAAGGAAGATTGAAAAATTCAGGACCAATTGAATATCCGCAATTAATACTATACAAACCTGCACGTCGGCAATTATATCATTGGTGCCATAGTACAACTACACTGGTAACTTGACATTGCCAAGATCATAATCAGGAGGATTTTTTCTGCCATACTTTTTCATGTTACCGACAAGGCCATAGTCAAATTTTCGGAACTTGCCTGTGAAGGAATAGAACGCAATGTGAGGAGAAATTTATAAAACTCTATTGTACTGTATGATTGATTATTAAATATCGATTATCCATAATGTGTGAGATGTTTAATAGCAGCACCGGCAGGATGATATTGCGAAATAAGAGGCAATAGTGTGTATGAATTTAATAGAAAACCATTATGCATTTTTATTTGCGCCTGATTACCGTACTAAGTTTTTCATCGAAGCCAAAAATTAGTTTAAGGACGCTTGAACTCACTGGCTGCAAAGGCAATTCGTCACAGCATATTATTCCTCCAATTATTTGCATGACTATGTCGGATGGCTCAAGATCATAAATATCTACTGCTTTCGTTAGAGACTATGAAAAGACAAAAGATGTAGAAACCTTATTCATTGTTGTTTCGCCCAACATTGAAATTAGAATTTTATTTAATTAGCAATTCTGATAATAGATAATTTTATAGAATTGATAACTTTAGTAATTAATAACATTAATAGTAAAGTTTCCAATTGTAGTAATATTAAAATTAGGTTCTGAAGCGTACATAGATATTTTCAAAATAAGTGGCTAACGCCCGGATTAAAGGATACTTTATTCGAGATATGAAGGCTACCAGAGTTAAAGCAAAAGGAGCGATCATTTTCTCTCGATATTCTGACTTTTCACTAGCTATCAGAAAAAACGCCGTACTCTGACTATGTGATACCATAAAGATCTTCGGTTGCTTTGTTTGCTCGATAATGTGATCGATCATCGCTGGAACGTCGTATGTTCTCATTTCATTTAAACGGACCAATTACTATTAAAATACAATTACTTCATCTCCAGGAATAAATCATAATGTATAGTTATCACCAGAATATCCAAATCTGGATCATATCTGGATCTATGGTGGTCATGTACAAGTTTCTACGCGAGTATCTGTTGCCGCGAACATTTTCTAGCCATAAGTCATGTCCTGTCTACTAATATAAAATCTAAAATTTGGAAGAAAATATTGACCAAGTATTCCGTGGTTCTTCAAATACGTGGTAAACGATGTCATGTGACAAAATTTAAAAACTAAATAGCAGAAGATAATTCAGAATTTCGTAAATTGGAATTATATCTAAAAAGCAGTGAATAGGTATAATATCTACTTCGAAATGCAACATGAGCTTATCGCATAGAGGACAAATAAATACGTCCATAAGTAGAGGAATATTCCACGTATTTTCTCTTATTCTTCGCATGATTATACAAACGAAAATTCAAAAGAAAGTACTTTCAAAACCAATGTTTTTTCGACAAATAACTATTAATATTTTCTTTATAGGAACCTGTGAAACAAATCGATGCTTTAGAAAATTATTTGACGTCCTTAAGAAAATCAATTTGACCGTGTAATATATTCCAGTCAGAACAATGTCATTAACATCGCATAACTATTCTACGAACAGTTTTATTATAAATTTAATCTTTGACGAGATACTTCCCCCTTGCGAGATAAAGGATTCTGTATATGACACCGGATTGGTATTGACACAAGATTTATGTGAAATTCGCTGTCAATTATTGATTACCAGATCAACAGTCGATTAAAAATAAACAGTTCCTTTTAAGAGTCTGCATATTATTATTTTTCTAAGTATGAGAAATATGAAAGAATTTCATTTGAAAGTTGTATAATATCAGAGTTAATATGTGATGATGACAAATATTTGACCCTGAGATAACGTCGATTTCCTTGTCAAAGTCACGTTTTCATGTTGTGACCTGTATTCTTTATTGCATATTCTTGTAAACGATATAAAAACGCAGTTCGAAACTTGTTATCATTCATATCTTAAATATATAATGGGGCACAAAGCATCAAGTATAAATCATTTGCGGAAAGTAAGAATTAATATTCACTTTCAGTCATTTCCCATGAGTTTCAGAATGTTGTGTACACTAAAGTATTCGCGTGTTTTCTCTACAGCAAATCAAAATCACTTCCACAAATTGTCCAACAGACGCACTAACAGGACTATATTGCACGATAAGAGACAACAGAGATTTTGAAATAAAATGAAGTTCAACTGAAAATTAGTACATATAAATATTAATTAATAGTTCATTATTATTAATCTAATTACATATTTTTGCTGCAATCGTATAAGTTTGTTGGATGGCTCAAATGCTTATATGTGCCTGAATCCATTGGCATCTGTAAGATCAAAAATGTTAAAATTTTATTTATCATTATTTCGCCTGACGTTAAAATCAATAATTAATTATCAGTTCTAATAGTTGTAATTAGTAATTACATAAGTTTTACTAACTAGTAATTTCAATACTTATTAGTTATATCAAAATTGAAATGTACATTAACATTTTCAATATGAGCGCCCAATGTTTGGAAAAAAGGACTTTTGGTTTGAGAAGCCTACAGGGGCCATAAGAAACACAGCAGTAATTTTCTCTTAATATTCACTAGCCGTTACGAAAAACCACCGTGGCTATACGATACCATAAAGATCTTCCGTTGCTTTGTTTCCTCGATAATGTGATCGATCGTTGCTGGAATGTCGTAAATACCCATTTCATGCCAACTGTACAAACGGACCAATTACTATTAAAATACAATGACTTGATTTCTAAGAATAAATCTCAATGTGTAGTTACTTCATTCTTGAATATCCAAAAGTCTGTGTCTGAAGTGGTCAGGTTCATATTTTTCCGCGAGTATCTATTACGAGCAATGAATAGATGTAATGTATAATGATTTTCAAAAGTTTACGGCCAGATCATTTTAGCTACTTTTCTCCCATATGTATACCTAAATCTTTTCCAGAATCAGCCACAAGCCACGTAGGCAAGGCATCTAAGGTTCCATGAAGGAGTAATAAAGCTGTTTTATTATCAGAGGACATTTCTTTCATCATGCGATCCTACTGCAAAGTATAACCATCCTGTATAACAACTTCATAACTTTGCTGGTTATTCCGCTTTCTGCGCAATTTCTGTTCTAGGAAAGATGCTTGTATTCATTTCAATGTAATTTTGTTTCAAAGCTATAGTAACACTTTCACATTTACGCTTTCGTGTGTATGTGACTTTAGTTGTCCAAGAATAAATGTAAGTATATAAAAATATATAAATAAAACAGTGAAGTAAATGAATTAATTTACACAGCAAAATTTTGAGGAGATACTTTTATATCATAAAATGTTCATAATTATATTATTCTGGTAATTTCTATGTAAGTAATATTTCTGCAGTCTCAAAAATCATAGAGTGTGCATATGGATAGCTTGGAACTGATGATACAATTTTCAATAAAATTTACTTACGGTAGTTAGGACTTCATCTTGGATAGTGATGTCAAAAATTTCGTTCGTTTTGTGCTACGCTATGAATACAGCCATGGTTATCGGCAATGTGCAACACAAAATTACTTTTCTCAACATTATTGTGTGTGAACACCTGTTTAATTGTAATGCCATGACGAATTTTTGGTCAAGCATATACAGTTTACCGTTTTGTGTAAACGTAATACGTAAAAGATAAGGGCAACATAATCATAGGAATATTAAAAATACTTTTCTTTACGTTTCATATGGTAAGATTTACGAAAATTTGAAATG